TTTCTTTCTTTCTTTCTTTCTTCCTTCCTTTCTTCCTTTCTTTCTTCCTTTCTTCCTTTCTTTCATTCTTTCTTTCTCTCTTTCTTTCTTCCTTCCTTCCAACTCCGTTTTTCACATCTTCATTTCCCGATCCAATCTCTCATTCTTCTTTCCGCATTTCATTTTCCTCCCACTATTCTTTTTTTTCCATTTTTCTCGTAATCATATCTTTCCCTCTCAATACATTAGGTTCAATAATCACAAAACGAACAGTCGATATCCATGAATGACAATACCCATTGCCGGCCGCGATAGTAACCCTAGTAAGCCTAATAAACATACAAAATGTATTCATATAATAGTATTATTTTGTACGGAGAGATAAGTATTACAGAACGTATTACAAAGGTCAAACTGACATCTAATTCAACCCTAAAACCGAGGAATTCGTACTGAAAAGTTTTGATTTTAAAATAAGATAAAGATTTTTAAAAGAAACTGTAATATTCGAAGGTTGTAGTGATACATGGTATATGAAGTTTAAGTAAGGCGTTATTCATCCATCCAACCGCATTCAAACACCTGTTCACAGATTTGTTCAGGAAAATTTAAACATAGCAAAACAATAGAGTAACGTCTAAACGACCAATAATTCGAAACTAAAAATATATAAAATTTTTGATTTTCTGAGTTTTTTTTGTTCAATAACAAAATGAGAAGTACGCAAAATAAGTCGTCATATCCCCTTGAGTTCAATATTACTGTTCTCTAGAAGAAGATTTTTTACTTTTGCATTACTTTTCTTCCTTAAATATTTTAACGGTAGCCGCTTTCTCAAGCCCCCCTCGCCTCCCCCCCTTTTCTCGACGACAGATGAATAATTGCTGGCGGATTTAGAGCTTGGTTAGCTTTGTTACCATTAAAGCCGCAAACATTCACTTGTAGTCATACTTGCGGATAACCTTAACTCCTTACCAGTAAGCGAATAATAACCAGTGCTATATTGTTTATATTCGACACTTACGTCATGCTGAACCGCACTGTTAACAACCCAGTTGTTTGTGGGAACATATGGAAATTCGTGGTAATAATAGATTTATGGTTGGGCAAGACCCAGGACGGAGAGGAAACGGAGCGCGAAATTTTGTGAACAGCAATCGTTTCGTTAAACTATAGCAAAACTAAAGAAAAAGAATCGCTAACAAAATAATAACCTTGTTAACCACTTTCCTTGTATCTGCGCGTACACGCATTTTATGTACATTTTTTTTTTTTTTTTTTTACAATGCACCGAATGAAAGTGATAATACAGGTTCTTTTATTCATATAAAATCTAGTTTAGTACTAAAATAAAAATAAATAAATAATTCTTGTTTCACGAGGGTAGCACTTAATAGCCAGTGGCTAACAAACCTGTGGCCTTCGTTGAATAATCATTTTGGAATTTAGGAGTTGATTTTTGTGGAGGGAGGAAAACCAGAGGACCTTGAGAAAAACAGGCGAGAGTAATAATGCCACGAGTATTTGATCATCAATTTGCAGATTTAAAACATTAAATTGCCGATTCCCTCCCTACTACAATATAATGAGTGTATATACTTATTAATAATTCATGATACTTTGCTTCAAATTATGAACTGTTAGCGTCATTTGAGAAGAGAGTGTGAGTCGGCTTTGATGGGGGATTCAAAACCAAGCTTCGTGACGCGGTAAACAGAAATATCAAACGCGGGCAAACAAATGCGGAACTACAGTACACTCTGACAAAACCTAACCCCGTTAACACTCTTAATTACCCAATGATAAATGATAACAAGAGTCTTCGCTTCCGTCGGTTCTGCGTTTAACAGACGTCGCAATTAGCTTTTCAAAATTCAATTTGAATAAATTTCCATGTCTATTGTTCAGCGAGTTGGACGCACGCGTCTGTATAATATTTACGGCGGGAAACTCTATGGTTTTACTGGTGAACAGGTTATTTGACACTTGTATGACCAATGTATAGACAGCATTAAAACTACCGCTAAGTATTCTTCTCAGATCGGAGCAATTGATATTTTTAGCTTTATGAAGTAAGTCACATTTAGCCGGAGGGGGGTAGACAAGGGAGAGAATTTGCATATAGTATTTAAAATTGTAGTGACTCATTAATTCAACCCCAATATGGGATCCTGCATACTCAACCCTTCAATTTGTAAATTATACCTAAATGGTTTCTGACGCGCGGCCAATCAGAGGAGAGCTTGTTCAACAATACCAATTTCAGATGTTTTGGCAAAGGTTTGCTTTTCTTTTAAGCTACGCGCCAAAGTGATTCGAGGATGGCCGAGTGTCGTACGATACAAAGATACGCGACGATGACAACTCAAACTTCTCGAGGAAATTGAACTAAACGAAAATGAGACAGCAAAACTTGAGAACTATATTCTTGACGATTTGTTGTCTTTCGTATCTTCTTGTCGGCGCTGCTATATTCAGCGCTTTAGAATATGATGAAGATCAAGTGCGACGACACAAGTTAGGCCAGCTTGAAGAAATGCTAACTTCAAAATACAACATCAGTCGAGAAGACCTGAAAAAATGGGAATTCTATCTAGTGGCGAAGACGAATGTAAAGGCCAATCTGTATCAATGGAGTTTCGCGGGGTCGGTTTACTTCGCCACAACAGTCATCACGACTATTGGTAAGGTTCACTAACATAGGAAATTAGAAACAATTTCTTTTGATACAGAACCAAAGAATCATTAATAAGCAAGGAATATAAGATGCAGTGAAATATGATGTAAGCCAAGTAGGACTATTTACTAAACGGATTAGAGTAAGCGCTTTCGGAATAGGATTCGGTTGCAACAAGTCATTGAACAGTGACAAATAGTTTTTAAGCGAGTTGGTCATTATTTGAGTCTTGTGTTAGCGTTCATGGGGTTTCCGTGTTTCCGTTGGAGAATATTTCGAGTCATAATCACAGATTGCTGGGCGGGAACTGAAAAAAATAAAATAAGAATCGATAATAATTTCACGCTTGAGGTCAGAGAGTGAAAATATTTCCTTAAAATGAAATTAGAATATTTCCGGTGTTTTCTGGGATTCAAGTACAGTGATGGAATCGAGCTTTTGCTTGACAAAATACTGTTTTGTTAAATTTAAAATTCATATTCTCCTAATTACTTTTCTCTTAGGATATGGGCATACAGTACCAAGAACGAAACGAGGGAAGATTTTCTGTATGCTATACGCGGCTGTTGGCATTCCTTTAGCTTTGACAATGTTTCAATCTATTGGTGAACGGCTCAATACTTTCCTAGCTTCAATGTTCCGAAGACTAAAGAGAAAAATGGGCAAAAAGGATGGTGATGTATCAAGCACGACAAACTTGGTAGTCCTATGTGGGTTATTGTCCATGGCAATCACGGTTTGTTCAGGGGCTTTTATCTACGAATACTATGAGAAGTGGGACTACTTCGATTCTTTATACTATTGCTTCATAACCGTCACAACGATTGGCTTCGGAGACTACGTTGCTCTACAAGATAGCGAAAAAACTAAATTCGACAATACGTATGTTGGAATCTCTTTATTATTTATATTTTTTGGCTTAACAATTGTAGGATCCGTTATGAACCAACTCGCTCTTAGATTGCTAACAGCAAGCCAGACGAAAGAGCCCGTAGAAAACCTAGTCCCCGGAGGACCGCGCTGCGACAGATGCTCGATTAAATCCGCACAAGACCAGTTTGAATGCTGTGAACCTCCGTCAGACTATTCCACAACTTTACTACGAAATTACGAAGATGAAATAACGTTTACCACATATAAAGAACCCACTTATACAAGTGCTGACAAAAAACGAGCTTCTATATAGAAAACCATGAGCATTTTTTCCACCAAGAAGAGCCGGTTTATATATATATTTTCTAAGTACACATTTCTAGACAAAAGATCCCAAAGAGAAATTAGACGGAGCGATATGATCACTAACCACACTCCTATTTACTTGAGTCAGTGATGGCTTACTGAAAATATATCCATACATGATTAAATTGTATGGGACAACGACTCTAATATGGCCTTCGTTTTGATGTATGATGGTAATTCCATGTTACACCAGGGTAGAAAAGTGGAATAATCGAAACTACGAGTTTATAAAAAAACTAAAGGAAAATTTAAAGGCAAAAATCTTGCTCTGGAGAGAAAGGAGAGAAAATTTATTTGCTCAAAGCAATGCTGAATTTTCTGGATTGGAATTTTCAGAGTGAATAACAAACCCATAGCACCTGCTAAAGTTATGAAATATTGATTAATATTGCAGTCATATTTTATTCAATATTTTTTTTGTGCTTTCTACTCTCCTCGCACTAAAAACTGGCTTGAAATTGGATGCAAGCGAAGAGAAAAAAGCGAGAAAACTTCATTAGATATCACCCAGTAAAGAACAGAGATGGTAAACTAACCAAACGAGGCGAAAAAAGTCGCCAGTAAAATAGATAAAGCAGAGAAGTTTTCGATTCTTAACAGAATTGTTAATTAGTTGGCAGGACTACCGAAATGACGAGAGATACTTCAATAGAAAAGAAAAATAATTAGAAATCTCCTTTTCGTACTCAGAGTTTTACAAAACTACGAAGATAACAATAATAATTATAATGATAATAATAATAATACATCTAGAAATGATTATATAATCTTCGAGTTAAGAAAAAACGCTCAAATTTTTTGATACTTCTGTCAATTATATGTTTTTTGGACGATTTTTGACAAGCTAGTTTGTAAATGCAAATTAAAACTTAATGTAGAGATCCTAACTAAATAATATTTTTATATTCTTCAGAAAGAAAATAAAATTTCATTTGACTGAATGCGTTGATAAGTTTATGGGAATGTCTAACTGAGAATTATCTACAAGAAAGAGGGAAAAACAGAATTTCAATTACTGCTTTAATTGATTCTAATATTTGTTCAAATGCGTCTTGTTTGAACGAATATTTTCTGCCAAACATTTCATATCGTAATTAATTTTGAATTCGTCTACGCTAGTTTTTACTTATTTGTCGCATATCTTAGATCTTTTTTCATTTAGCGTGGCTCTGTAAGTTTTAAATAACAAAAGGCTAGCGCTAATTTTTCAATATTTTTCAACTCGGAAACCAAAATTGGATCTTCCTCGACGGTTGATGAAAAATCGGGCATTTGAGAGGAAAATGCAATGGAAATTTTTTCAAAACCCTTTATAAGGACTGATAATTATTTGTCTTTAATCATTTCAAGTAGTTGAAATTAGGACAACAGTTTTTTCGCCGTTAAAAAACCCATGGAAACCGTCAGTAAATCTTATTATACAGAATTCAGAAAGTAATTTATTAATGATAAATTTTGAAGATGTAAAAGCGAGTTTATAAAGTTTAGCTTGACAAATTTACCAAGAGCTATTTGCATGTAAATAAGTAGTTTCGTAGTTTGTTTTTGAATGGCTTTGTTGTGTGCTGTTTGAGCGTTCTTTTCGGTTCTCTCCATATCTGTGGAAACTGTAATTTTGTTTGAATTGATGAGTGGAATCATGAGAGGTTTTTTAGTTTATAAATACAAGTCTCTTGAAGTATAATTTCAAGTTGTTTACCCAAAAAACTAAAACAAATTCAGTTTGAATTGGTTGAAAAATAACTTTCATATAATATGCGATAAAATGTTCTTTCTTTCTTTCTTTCCTTTTTTTCTTTTTCATTTTCGTTTGCAAGTCACTAGACTTCACAAGTGAAGAAAACAGAACATATTTTTATTTTACAAACTAGAGTTTTAAATATTAGACCTTAAAATATTCGCTTTTCTAGGTTAAGTGACAAATTGGAATTATGTTTGGATTCATTAGGACTGCCTTTGTCGCTTTGGAATACAATTGCGTTAGGTAATCATACTTAGAAATTCTACTTGAACCTTCTAAAATATTTATATAGCATCATATGAAAAATTGGGTACCCTTTCAAGGAGATAGGTATAGAAATTCGAATAAGTTTTAAAATAAGCTTCCAAAGAATTAGAATTCTTTGGGAACTTATTTTCAAAAGCTTTCGCTTGACCTTTACAATTAATTGTCGCATCTTCTCGCCTATTGTGACACCAGAAAAGGCAATTTTTTAATATTTCGGTTAAGAAAAGCCTGAATATACTTACTCTTATGGAAGTCTCAGAAATTTTAGACGGAAATGACTGTTTTATCGTTAGAAGAAGTATGACATGAGTTAATAGACGGGCGAAAAATTCAATTGTATCGATTTAAAATAATTAGTAGCGAGTAGACAAGATGAGTTACTTTGTATCTGCTTGGCGATAATCGGCAAAGAAGAAACTTGCGTAAAATATTTAACCAAACAGGGAACAGAAGAAGAACTAGAAAAAGAAATTCTTGATATTTCGATAGTTTGTCGCTAAACTAAATTCAATTGAGAAATGAAGGATGATGATGATGATATTTATGATGATGATGCATGGTGATAATACTATGACAATGGTCTTGTTTTTGTTACTATTGCTGTTTTTGATAATGGTGATGATGATGATGGTGATGATAATGATGAGGCAGGTATTGATGGTGATGTTGATGGTGATGATTAAATGATAACTGTGATGTTGATGATGATGATGGTGATAATGTTGATGATAATCATGGAGACGCGGGTGTTGATGGTGGTGACGCGGCCGCTAGTAATGTTGGTGGTGATGATAATCATGAAGATAACGATAGTAACAACGGAAGATGCTGATGACGACGATGATGGTGATAGCGATGATGTTACTTTTTATCTTGTTACAATTCATTGACTCGCGTCTCGGTAAATATTCCCCGATATTCACTTCGCCTTCGGCGAATAATTGTTTTAGCATATACCAACTTGTGTACAGAGTAACTTATTTTTATATAAGATAATTCAATAAAAACAAACAAACAGAAACTTGCAGTTGGCGTGACAAATTCACGCAAAACTTTTAGCAAAACGTTTAGCAAAACTTTTAGGCCATACTTCGTTGCCTTTTTAGTATTGATAGGAATGGTATTTACTTTCATTTTTTCAATTTCCTTATCGGAAGTTGTAGCAAAACGATTGCAGGCAGATGCCATTTTGTTGCCGACTCAATATTCCGAGAATCAGAGGTGAATATCGTACAATATTCACCTCCAATTAACCAATGAGCGCGCGCGTTCTTAGGAAGTACACATGTTGTTATATTCTAATACTTACTATCTACTAAATAACAAATATGCTAAGTTAAGTTAAGTTGCGTGCGTGTATCAACTTATATCGTATCTAATAATAATAATTATGTTCTTATATAGCGTATTATAGACTCTCAATGCTCTAGATGTGCTTGTCTTGACTTTTCGTGTATTTACTGATTCATGGGACCTTTACTATAAAATTCCGTAAGTGACATATTGGTTAATCTTAACAAAAAAACATCCCTTGATGTCTTTCTTGACAACTGGACACTCTTGTGATGCGTTATCACTAGTCAGTTGTGAAGCAAAACAATCCAAAAAAATCCTTTTCTACCCAACAATCTTCGTGTCGAGAATATATAAGGACATTTTTAATAGGACGAAATTGCCAGAATTGCGTGAAAGCTCGCAATCTTTTAAATCTTTTAAAGACAAGAATTCTTGAATTGAAGCAGTGATTCCCCTCTCAGATAAGAAATGGCTTCACATTGTGCTATGTAACATCGCGGTGACGGAGTGGTGAGATTTATCGGGTAGATCAATTTGACGATAATAAGCTCATTTCGACTACTTTAAAAATACTGCTATCAGATTATTTCAACTTCAGTGAAAAAGAAAACGAATGTGGTGTTTTTGACTTGTCTTTTCAACCGCCTTTTCACCATGATATACTACTCAAATAAGCATATGTAATAGAACTCCATGCTGTCCAATTAAGAAATAATTGGACGAGGAAAATTCCGAGGACTGACAAAATTGGATGAGG